TGATGATGATGATGATGATGGTGGTGATGATGATGACGATGATGAGGATGATGATGATGAAGATGGGACATTAGCTGTACATACACCCCTTTCTCAGTCTAAGATCTTTGACGGGATTGGGAAGAATCGATATTGGTCTGTAATTATCATTCTCAGCTGAGGAGCCAGATAAACTTACGTATGCTGATGACGGTGCGGCCATCTCTTCTAATAAGTCCTACTCCTCAGGAATGGAAACACTAAAACACACAAAAATACCGAACACGATCATATTTAGCAGAAAGAGATGCCATAAAATTAGATACTAGAGCGAAATGTTATTAGTGAAATGTTAAAAGAATAACGTGTTCATTTCATTTAATGAACTGTTGTCTCACCTGGTTTCCAATCGTTCTTATTTTCGCAGGTGATTAACAGGGTGGAGACTGGTTACCGGCTGCCACCTCCAAAGGTATGGTTTTTGGGTATATTCTGTTGGTCATTACATATTAACTTAATAGTATAGGTAATGGTAATCGTATGAGTGCGATTGCAATCAAGGATTTTACTATTCCTTTTTTTTAACAACGACATTTTTGTTTTGACAATAACTACATTTCTTTTACAAAACTTACTACTTTACAATAACTACACTTGTACAATACTTACAACTTTACGATAACAACATCAATTTTACAATACTCAACAAGTAAAAGTCAATTACTTATAATACAATTAGTTTACTTTTATTTTTATTTCACTATTCATGATATTTGAGAATTCTCTCAAAATTGAACAAGACTTTATAGAATTTTCAAATAGCACGATAAGTTTAATCATTAATTGCCCGAGCGTTCATACGATTACTCATTTCGTGTATGACTGACTGTGTGCGTTAATTTGCGCCGCAGTGCAAATTAAAAATTAACGATAAATTGGTCTGCTGTCAGTCAATCACTTTAAAATATATTTCTCAGACCTTAATTGAAAGAAAAATCAATCTCGTTTCGAGAGGCCGCGATCCTCTTGGTCAGCACCAAGAACCAAGACCTCTGAGTCAGCATTAGTCACTGTGGTCACTCTCTCTAAGCATGTTCAAAAATTATTATTGAACTTTAACACGTGTGCACAATCAGACCAGAACCGGCTAGAACTGAGTGTCTTAAACATCCTAGCAAGATTTGTTGATGGCATTATAACTTTAGCATGTGACAGACTTTGATGCCTTATAGCGAGCAGTGTGACCTTGTAATAAAATGTTTGAAAATATTTGTCCTTTGACATTATTTCTTCCTCGAAGCTACAGACTTAAAAGTGTCCGCTTCTCGGCTGCGGACAAAAGTTGTAGCATATGTGTTCGCGCCAAATTGAGGTTGTCAAGATTTTCCAGTACAAAATAAGACATTGTCGTCATATTATTGTCACAATTTCTCTCTAAAACAAGTAAAAGTTAAACTTGACAATTTTGTCTCCGAGAAACTTAGTTCCTGTGATCTGTTACTTTTCGTTGTCTTTCGTTGTGTCTTTTTATTTTGGTCTGTTTTTCGGCATTCCTTTCTTTCACCATTGCTGACATAATTTAAGATTGCTTTATATACGTATGAGTCTTTTCCGTTCTGTTTATTTATCCAAGGGATGTCCAAAAGTCGTTCATACTTTGATGCTGGACTGTTGGGGTGAAGACAAAAACAAAAGGCCCAAGTTCTCTGAAATCGTATATCGCCTGGACGGACTAATTCGCTCTCCAGAATGCCTGAAAGACAAGTCTTTGTCTCTTCACTCCACGTAAGTTTTAAAACGCTACATTGCACACACGTGAGGCTGCTAATTACGTAAGCAGCGTAAAAAGTTACTCATGGAGGAGCATCTTAAGAGCTCTGTAGCCTCCTAGTTAGCTTATCGCCAAAAGGAACTTTCTTCTAAGACGAAAATAGTTGATAAAAGTACGAGCGGACAAACTTTTATGTGACGAATTATGGACTATGCATGTCCGCGTTATTGTCAGTCATTGTTAGTAATTGTCAAGTGTGTTGTATTAGTTATTTGTAATGTATAGTGAATATATTCGTACCCTGCTAGCAGAGGTTTCTTTCTAGCAAGTCTTTTAGCATTTACGAAGTCGTTCGCGTCACTTGTATTTCGCGTAGTCGCGTCTCTTGCATTTCGCGTAGTCAGGGTACCCTGGCTAAGCGAAATGCAAGAGACGCGAACGACTTCGTAAATGCTAAAATACTTGCCAGAAAGAAATCTCTGCCAGCAGGGTAATATATGCGCAGCCGGCAATCAGTATTCTGGCGTCGTAGAACTTGGATAGTCGCTCGCAATATGCTCTGTTATTAAATAATCGCTAACCAAGAAATCTCTCGTTGCACTTTAGTTAATGACATATCGTCCAAATCATTTTCAAGTTTCGAGTATTATTTTTCAGGTCTTTGGAGGGAGATATCCCAGAGTTCCATTCGGTGGATGAATGGCTGAAATACATCAACATGGCAAAGTATTCGGAAACATTCAAGGCTGCAAACATCAATACCCTCAACCAGGTTGCTAAAATGGAAGAGAACGATTTGAAAGCAATGGGAATCAAATTAATCGGCCATCGAAATAAAATGAGTAAAAGTATAAAAGCCATGAAATCACAATTTCACAACAGGGGTCTTGATGACGATGAAGCCGCGATATGATTTATTCATTCATCAGGGGAGAATTTTCTTTATGATGACTTCACAAAGTTAATCAAGTTAGCCTATACTGTTCTGAATTTTCCTTTTATATCATGAGAATTGTTATTGACTTTCTATCAAGTATTTTATCCAGAACAATTTCTCCGTTTGCAGTAATTATATCAACCAGTACTCAGACCATATTTTTTTAATAAAAAAGTAGCAAAATAACAGTAATCTCGTTAAAGAAACTCTGGATTAATGTTTAATTTCCAATGTTCTGAAGACCATTCTTTAGACTGCTTACAGCCTGTCTCTTATTGTCTAACGACTTTTTCTCCTCGTACGCAAAAAGGGCTTTAATTTATAAACGATCGACGAGAAATTTTCCCAATCTCTTCTCATCTTAAGTGAGCTTAACAGCGGCTAAATGTCGTCCTTAAGTACGTTAAAATCAAGGTGCGCGCAGCCCGCTCTCGGCGACTTTTTCAGTCAGTTTAAGTGAGTTTAACAGTGGCTATATTTCGGCCAAACTGAGCGTTCAATTATTTTTTCCCTGTCGATTTCACTGAAAACCAAGATCCTCTCGAGTTAGTTTAGAGTTCCTGGGACTCGGCAATGTCGTCCAAGTTCTTGGAAATCGACCCTAAGTAGGACGAAATCAAGGTGCGCGTAAACCGGTCTCGGCTACTTTTTCAGTGTCAAAATTAAGTGGGGCTTTATTTCGGTCAGGAAGATCGAAACCGGGCGTGCAATTATTTCTCCCCTGTCGATTTCACTGAAAACCAGGCTACCACGAGTTAGTTTAGAGTCCCTGGAACTGGGAAATATCGCCCGTTCTTGGAAATCAAGCCTAAGATTGTCAAAATCAAGGTGCAGTAATGTTGTGTTAATAGTAACATCTGTTTACTATCACTTGCATATTATATTGTAGTTGTTATTGCAGTGTTCATCTGGGTTATATGCACATGTACAATAGTACAACTTGCCTAACCTGTAATACACAATGAATATAATAGTGACACATTTTAAAAGGGTATAAATGATTATATGCAGAAAAAATATTGTATTTCTTTAATTTGCTTTCCTTTCTATTCTCTCCTCCCCTGCTGCCCCAATAAAAATAAGCTACCTACCTAACTAAGGTGTCCAAGTGATATTTCTTGCTTTTTTGGAAAGGGTTAAGAAAGAAAATGCTAGCTATAATGCCGTGCTCTCTCTAAAGAAACACTGGAGTTAAAA